ATTAATTTTGTGTACTACCATAAATTTCACAACACCATTTTTATGGTGACCATCTCCTTCAAGGAGAAAATTATTATTATTGTCATGGCTAATATTATCACATGCAAGACATATTTCTTGACAACCAATAACAAATTTGTGTTGCCACACAACAATATTTATTTTGATCATTGCCACAACCTTTATAAGAAAGAATTATTAATTTCTTTTGTCCTCCAACAGTTCATAATAAAACATACCACAATATTTATGTAGTACTCAAAGTATATGACCAAAATGACCATTCATGTCAAAAATCTCAAACCTACCATAGAGGTGAGATGTGACATTTTATCTAACCATACATGAACATGTCTTTATCCAAACGAACACAAGTCACATTCTCTTCAAGAAATGGCCATAACCATTTGTACATGCTCCATAAGTTTTTATTAGTCATACTTTGACATTATCAAATTTATTTGACCCACCTCAACATCACTATAAAAGTACTAAATGTACTACCACTTTGTATTTCTTTATTTTGCTGAAGGATTTACAAAACTTTCAAATTGGGTTGCACCAACAACAATATGGCCAATAACTTTTCATACCACTTTAATGGATAAAAATTACCTTCACATTTTGAAGGATCATCTTAAGAACCCATATTGTTCTTCCTTTTAATTACCATAATGATGACCATTAACATTTTACCACACCCATATTCATATATTAAATCACTTGTCTTCTTTCAGACATATTATACACTGCTACCACATTCACAGAAGAATGGAGAAAATTAATTGGGCAAATTTCATGGCTTTTAGTCAAAAGTATATAACTTTATGTTAGTCATCATCATATCATCACTATAGTGCATTAGGACTTAAACACAATGTCTTGCCCATATAAAAACGTCTTTGGTCATAAATTAATGGGACTTGAACCCAACTTCTTATTATCATGGTGCACCGAGACTTTAACTCTGTGTCTTACCCACTTGGTGCGGTGAAACTTGAATTCACCGTCTTACCCTCAATCAATGTCTTGACAAACCAAATACGTTACCAAAAAAAATAATTATCGAAAATCATAAATATATCTGAATTTGACTTAAAGTACAAGAAAAATGAACAAAATCAATTAATTATAACAACATGTTGGAATCATATAAAAGTCCCAAGTTAAAATAAATTAAAACTTTTTAACATTCTTTCTCAATATTGTTACGAAGATTAAAATAATTTACTAATCATTTTAAAATAACCACAAAACAAACTTTGTTAGAAAAAATAATATATTAATAACTCAATAAGTAAATGTTTAAATAAAGAGGTGCAAAAGTAACCAATAATGATAATCCAATCAATATGTATATGCCACATAACTCAATAACTTATATTTTAATAAAACAAGATCATAAAGAACAATTTCTTTACAAATTATTAACTTACAAAATTAATTTTACTTTTTAAATATATAAGTGATCAAACTGATGGACTCATATAATTTTGAGATGGTAAGAAAACTAATGAAGCATAATCAAAAGTAAAATATAAAATAATTTATATGGTAATTTACCTTGTTTCCGAGAGAAAAATAAACACAAATATTTTTATCTTCTTTATATTTACTTTGCTTCAATCCTTCAATAGTAGAACAATTGCTGATAACATGTTATAAAACTAAAGCAAAATAAAACAAGAAATATAGAAGGTGAAAACAATAGAAATATAGAGACAAGATATGAGAGTATTCTTATTCTTCAAAGTATTCAAATGCATACAATATGAATCATTATGCCTCTATTTATAGTGTAACATAGAGACATACAAAAGGTTAGTCATAAACATGAATATAATGGGGGAGGTTATGGATGTGAAAGACTACAAGAGTAATAGTTATAAAAGTGGAGGTTATGATTATCTTCGTAATGGAGGAAAATAATGGAAATAATGGGTGAGAGTAACTTCGTGGTGTAGTGGATATCCACACTATAATATTTTATAACAGATTAAGCTTTATAAAGACGAAATTTTAATTTTAAGATTAAGTTTTTAAATAATATTTTTCAAAAAAATTGAAATCATGGAGTACATGGGAGCTTTTCCGGGCAGGACAGCAGGCGGCAGAAAAACACGCGTAATGATTTGGTAGCACATGGCTTTGGAGCGGGACCTTCTATTTTGAACTATCACTAATTTATCTTTCTTCCAATTCATAACATAATTCTATACCCACTGAGCTACAGATTCTTGCGGCCACACTACTTCTACTCCATTATCAATCTCAGATCTGTTGATACATTTGTATATATCCCATTTCGGAGCAGTTCGTTTGGGGCTATCAGTTATCAATTTTCTAGTTTGTGATTCTGGGTACTGGAGTAGAACTAGTGCCATTTATTGGAGAATTGGAAACCCTAGGTCAATGGCGGGGTCGGTACAACCAGAAGCCATACTGGAATGGCTTCAGAAGGAGATGGGGTACCAACCATTAGGGTCATACGCAGCTTCAAGCAAAGCAGCAATGCCTACTATTGATTCACTTCGCAAGATTTGCCGTGGTAATATGATACCCATTTGGAATTTCCTCTTGAATAGAGTGAAATCCGAGAAAACTGTTGAAAAAGTCCACCGGAATATTCTTGTACATGGACGAGATGATGGCAATGGAAATGTTAATGCTGTTGATTCTGGGAGGAGTAAAGGGAGGAGGAAGGAGAAGGTAGGGGTGGTTAGGGACAGTGGTTCAGGATCCTCTTCGAGTGTGGGGTTGGGTTCAGCTGAGAATAGTAGGGAATTTGCTTTGCAGGAAAGAGACTTGGCAGAGAAAGAGGTGGAAAGGCTTAGGCAGATAGTGAGACGTCAGCGGAAAGAGTTGAAGGCTAGGATGTTGGAGGTCTCAAGGGAGGAGGCTGAGCGTAAGCGCATGCTTGACGAGAGGTCTAACTACAGGTTTGTCAATTAGAATCAGCATATTGTAATATTATCTCTCAGCTATTCACAACTACAAACTTTGGATTTTTCTTTATTTTGATTCTGGTGATGAGCTAAGTATAGAGAAAATCTTCCTTCAATTCTTCATCTAAAACCTGTAATGTTCAAAGGCAAATCTAGTTCTTCTAGTAGTTAACTAAATTCACTATATCCCGCTCAGACTATGTATAGATTATCCAAAAAAAGAAAAAAAAGGAAATGTGTATATTACCTTGTCTATACCCACTCCAAATTCATTGACTCTAAATTTTGGGTTCACTCTGATGATATGAATGTGAGTTAACCTTGTAAGTATTACAACTGATTCACTGAAGGTGTGGGTGGTGGGAATCATGGGTTGGATTATTCCTTTCATCATTTTTAAACTCGCGTATTTTCTGTCCCTAAGCAACAAGAAACTGTGTCTAGATTGGTTGGCACGGGGCCATTGAGTATAGCTGATATTTATACTTTTAAACGCAGGCATAAACAAGTAATGCTGGAGGCTTATGATCAACAGTGTGAAGAAGCTGCAAAAATATTTTCCGAGTACCATAAACGTCTAAGTTATTATATTAACCAAGCAAGGAACGTTAAGCGGTCTAGTGTTGATTCTTCTGCTGAGGTGGTTACTACTTTTCAGGCAAATGAGAAAGATGTTTATCCGACTTTTAAAGGAACCAAAAGTGTGGAGGATGTCATTCTCATTGAAACAACATGGGAAAGAAATATCAGGAAGGCATGTGAATGTCTTGCTATGCAAATGGCTGAAAAGATTCGCAACTCTTTTCCTGCTTTTGAAGGAAATGGAATCCATATGAATTCTCTGTTACAAGCTGCCAAGTTGGGTATTGACCTTGATGGTGATTTACCCGATGAAGTAAGAGATGCAATTGTTAGTTGCCTGAAAAGTCCTCCCCAGTTGCTACAGGCAATCAATGCCTATGCTCAAAAGCTGAAGACTACAATTACTCGAGAAATAGAGAAAGTTGACGTTAGAGCTGATGCAGAGATTCTAAGGTAATCTGATCTTCTTAGAAATATCTTTAAAAAATATGGTAACTTTCTCAACAACAACAAAAAAAAATCTTTAAAAAAAATCATTTTTGGATTCCGTCTACCTTGGTTTCCATTGCTCTTTTCTCTGCTCAGTTTAATGAACAACTGAAAATTACTATAACTCATATTTTTCTATTTCCTGTTTCTTTTTGCAGTTGTTACCTGAGTTGGTAAATTTTGTTTTTATAGGAAATACATGTCTACTTCAGGAATATGACCAATAGTTTAATTGGTCAGATGTTGCCTTCGTCATATTTTAACATATCAAAACTCAAACTAATCAGAGATAAGTATCATACCAACTATAGTTGACACAAACTAGTTAGAGTTATACTTAGTTGATCTTATGCTTATATTAGGTTCGGAGTTGTGAAGAGTCTTTTTATTCTGGTTAGACTTGTATACCCGTTAGTGGTCAAGTGTAAGATTTTGAAAATATAATTTAGAGAATCCCTGGTTTGCCTTGCAAGATGAAACATTTAATATTAGAGTGAAATGGCCGTGAGAGCAGGGTGCATACAGAAGATTCATGTAGCTGATCCCAATTATTTGGTCTTGAAGCATAGTTCCACATTGTCTTGCCTGTCTTCTGTGCGTTGGCACTTGTCTGACCTGCGTGATGCAGTGCATCGACCACTGTATTATCCGTTAATCGCTCAATAATTTAGAGTTGCAATATCCCAAGTGTCATATACGCCTAGCTGAAAGGTGTGTGGGACTGCTATCCCGGTGTCTTACCCCAAAGTAATACAATACAAATACTTGAAAGATTGATGAAATGAAAGGGTAAACTAATTCAATTTATGTATTTTATAAAACATGTAATTTCTGACAAGGTAACCAATTTGAAAGGCATGGAGACCTTTTGCTTCCATTTGGTAGTTCTGATATCTGCTTGAACTCAGTTTATGATATTTGTGGCATGATGATGAACATATTCATTGATGTCAATTTTACCCTTTGAATCAGGTACAAGTACGAGAATGACAGAGTAATGGATGCTTCTTCTCCTGATGTAGCATCACCTTTACACTATCAACTTTATGGCAATGGCAAAATTGGAGGTGATACGTCTTCAAAAGGGAGTCAAAATCAACTTCTTGAGAGACAGGTCTTTCTATTTCATTCCTTATACTCCCTCAGTCCCTAATTACTTGTCCACTTTTGAATTGACACATCTATTAAGAAAATAATGATTTACGTAGTGAGTTTACCATTTTACCCCTATTAATTATGAAGTGGATGAATTAAAAACTTAAGATTTTCAAGAAGTTTTACCTTTTTTTCAAAGTAGTTATTTGAGGGTATAATAGGTAAAAATATTTTGTCCTTTCTAGATTTGTCAAAATGGACAAGTAATTAGGGACAACGAAAAAAGGAAAAGTGGACAAGTAATTAGGGACAGAGGGAGTAATAGTTTGCCACCTTCAACTAGTTGCTTTTGCAAAGTTCCTTGGGCTTTTTGTTTCTTGAAAACCTATTGGAACTCTTTGTAAACAATTGCTCCCTTCGACCTGAATTGGATCTTCAATTTGACTTGGTTATTAATTGAGTGTTTCCTGTCTATTACATTTCCTTAACAATTGTCGACTTGACATGGATGCTGTATATCGATTGTTATGCACTTGTGTTTATAGTTGTAAGACCTTTCATTTTTATAAGGGTCTGATTTTTTTGTCCGATGCAGAAAGCACATGTTCAGCAATTCTTGGCTACTGAAGATGCATTGAATAAAGCTGCAGAAGCGAGAAAGATGAGCCAACAGCTTTTAAAGCGTCTGCAAGGAACTGATGATGCAATCTCTTCACACTCACTAGTAATTGGAGGAACATCAAAGAGTATGAGCAGCCTTAGGCAACTTGAGGTTTGGCTTTTCTCTTATAAATCATAAAAATACTGTCTAGACAGTGGACCCCTGTGGTAAAATGGGATGCTATACCTTTCTGGATTTCTTTGGAGAACATCCTGAAGTTATGCCTGGGAAACTATTAGTTGCATTGTGATAATGTTACGAGGCTTACCGTATTTTTTTTGATTAAGTTTATAGATGTAAATATTAATCATATTGTCTTTTCGAGGTGTTATATAGTTGCCTCTGTACTGATATTTGCTTCCTGCGGTATCCTCATTCACACATTTCTCTATAGAGTGACAACTATTTTTTTTGAAGAAGGTAACTTGTATTATGAACAAAAAGAATACTCAGAAAAGTATTCCAGTAATACTTGCAACAAAATTACAGAGGGAGAGGTGACCCTACTAAGGCTTCAAAAATAATCTAAAATTCTAGGAATATCCTCTTCTTCTTGAGGATATTCATGTTTACACCAAAAAAAAAAGAAAAGGACTAACAGTTCTGCAGAGAGCAACTCTTGTTTTCGAAACATCTCTGGTTCCTTTCCATCCATATAGTCCACCAAATGCAGGCTGGGACAAGCTTCCATCGTGTCCCGACTGATTCCCATCTCTATTCCAGCAAGCTAGAGCCTCTTTGATGCTCCTTGGCATAGTCCAGCTTATGCCTCTTCAATTAATGAAAATCTGCCATAACTTCATAGTCTTTCTACATTGCAGTAAGAGATGATTTATTGTCTCAATCTCACATTCACAAAAAGAGCACCTAAAGCAAATTTGACGACCTTTTTTTCATAAGGTTGTCCTGGGTGAGTGTGGCATGTTTGGCTTGTAGCCAAGTGAAACATGCAACCTTGAAATGTACCTTGACTTTCCAGATTGTCTTCCAGGGCCAGCCACCACTCTGAGAGATGGGAGTTAAATCTTTGTATTGCTCCAGAATATTGAGTAGTTCAGCCACTTTGTTAATTTCCCAGTTGTTCAAGTGTTGTCTCCTAAACCTGAGATCCCACCCTTGATTGTCTCTCATTTCTCTGATTGTGGATACCTTTTGAAGGCTCAGGTTGAACAAGTCAGGATACTTGTTCTTCAAAGTTTCCTGTCCAACCCACACATCTTCCCAAAGTAGTGTTTTTCCCCCATTTCCCACCTTGATTTTACAGTTGTTTGCAAACTTGATCCACTGACCTCCATACTCCAGTCCCATAAGGTTGTGTGGGCATGTAGGTAGTCTATTTGTTCTCCATTCCAAACCTAGCCTTGATTGTATAGAGTGACAACTATTCTGACCCTTACTACACACACTATGCTTGTGTAAAACTACTAGTTTACTGTATTTGCTACTTGGATGTTGCTGGTTAAGTTTCACTCCCTATATCTTTCTTGTTATTGTCTCTTTTGTTGAGTATACGCTATCTTTTGTACTGGTTGTTATGTTTGCATATATCTCTCCTGTCACTTAGATTTGATGTTCTTGAGCTGAGGGTCTCTTGGAAACAGCCTCTCTACCTCCACGAGGTAGTGGTAAGGTCTGCGTACTATTTACCCTCCCCAGACCCCACCTAGTGGGATTCCACTGGGTTGTTGTTGTTGTTGATGTTGCTGGTTAAATGTTAGTCTTTTAAGCACTAAATATGAGACTGAGAGTATTGTGGAGTAGACAACTTACCAGAGAAATGATTTAGATCATTTCATTTTGATGATCTTTAAGGAAAGAAGATCCAGGTAACATTTGTTTTAGCTTATTGTTAGAACTGAGAAGTTTTGTGAAATCTTTTACCAAGTTTATTTGTAATAAACTCATGGCAAATGTATCTTCTCTTCCAAGAGAATGTATGTAGCTAACTTTTAAACTTCAAAGGAGGTGAGGTAATAGACTTGTAAGGTAGATAGAAAATGGAGAAAATAAATGTTAGATAAATACTTGTCTCTCATCAGTTGTGCAGGAGTTCTCAAAGTGATTTATAATATCTTGGGCTACTCCACCCATAGCCTTAAGGTTTCGGGTTGGATGCTCAGATTCTTTCGCATTGTATCAGAGCTAAACTTGGTGAACCGCATGCACAAACACATTCTCTCTTCATGTTCTATTGCTCTGAGCTTCTCTCTCTCAACTCAGCCTATGGAGTTGCTTTGAGCTTCTCTTTCTCAATTTAGACCGTTGAGCCAGAAGCTTTGATCCAAGTCAGCCTTAGCTTGTTGAACCTACTCTCATCTTAGCTTCAGGCCCACTCTTAAACTGTTGAGCTTGATATCTCTTTCTACCATCCACTCTTTAATCTTCTAAGAAAAAAACAGTTCTTCAATCCATCAGTTCATGTGTAAATCTAAAAGCCCTGTCACATGTGTGCGAGGATGTTAGAGAAGTACTTGCTCTTCATCGACTGAGTAAGGGTTTTCAAAGGTGTTGATGATGTCTTGGGCTACTCTATCCATAACCTTAAGGTTTTGGGTTGGTCAGATTCTTTCACATCTTGGTTTAGATTATGTCTTAGTGTAGGATGAAATTTTTTATTCTAACTTATCCACGATATTCTTCCCTTTTTCTTTGAAAAGCTTGTCGAAGAGGTTTTGGATTTGTTGAAGACATAAAAGTGTGCTCTCTCTAATAGCTTAAGCTTTTAAATGAGATGGTCACAAACTTCGACATGGTATTAGAGCAGACATAAGTCTTGGGTTTGAGTCTCATCCCCACCCATTATCAAAAAAGAATTTATACTTGCCCATAAAAAGAATCAGAGCCGCACTTGAAGGAGTGTAGTAAAGACATAAATAAGTAAAAGTGTGCTCTTTCTAATAGCTTACTCTTTTAGATGAGGGCACAAACTTTACAAGGTTGAATCTATCTTTTTTTTTTGATAAGGTAGGTAAGTTTAGGAAATTTATTTTTGGAGGAACAGTATCCTAGAAGGTGTGTGTTGATATTCAGCCTACTGGTGCTGTTCAATTAAAGGACCAAGGAGGATCCTATCCTAAAGGAGAAGGAGGAGGAGTAGGAGCTAGCTTTAGGGGCGGAATCGAATGATTACGAGATAAACAATGAGACAAAGGAGAGCACTTAGACAATTCACTTTGAGTACAGGAAAGTCTGCTGGTAGGAATTCCTCAGCAAGAAATGCTGCTTTACATTGATAAGACACTGTACTTTTGTTCTCAGCATAGGAATAACCGAAAAATAATGTTTTGTGACTTCTCCCCATCTACCTAAGACCTGATTGGTGGGAGTAAGCAGGCACTCTGTGAAATTGTAGTCTGGCAAGCTGGTCCTGACACCACCATAAAAAAACATTGTGTACTTTCCTTTCGTTTGTGTACTTGTGTAGTGCTTTCTCTTGGTAGTTTCAAATATGCTGGTCTCATGTGTGATCGTATAATCTTCTCTTGCTCAATTACCTGTACTACCTATTTATTGATTTTGTACGTGTGGGATGTCCTAGCAATTTTCTTCTACTTTTTGTAGTTGGAGGTCTGGACAAAGGAAAGAGAAGCAGCTGGACTAAAAGCTAGTGTGAACACACTGATGTCTGAAATACAACGTTTAAATAAATTGTGCGCGGAGAGAAAAGAAGCTGAAGATTCTTTGAGAAAGAAATGGAAGAAGATTGAAGAGTTTGATGCTCGCAGATCAGAGCTGGAATCCATTTATAGTGCCTTACTAAAGGCAAGCATGGTATGACTGAAATTATGTGTGTCTATGCGGTGCAATGTGTTGTTATACAAGTCTTCTCTTTTTTCTTTTTTTTTTTT